TGGTTGTGACCCCCAGGTTGTGCCAAGGTTGTGCCAATCAGCTTTCATATAATATTGTTTCTAGCACCCACTTTTTGGTTGATATTCAGGCAGTGCTTCTTGTAAGTCAGAGCATGATCCAGAGTAACTCCCAGGTATTTTGGTGTGCTGCGATACTCCAGTGGGATTCCTTCCCAGATAATCCTCAGAGTTTGAGATGCTTGTCTGTTCTTAAGGTGAAAAGCACATGTCTGCATTTTAGATGGATTAGGAATCAGCTGTTTTTCCCTGTAATAGGCACCTTAAACTTCTGAGAGCTTCGTTTCAACCATTTCAAAGCTCCCTGCTTGGGCGGTGATGGCAGAATCATCAGCATACATGAAACTCTCTGTCCCTTCTGGCAGTTCCTTGTGTAAATGTTAAGCTGAATACAATTGATCACCCACTGACAATGGAGTTCAGCAATTCCCCTCCATATGCATAGAATTTTCTTCATTTTATCCATACCCTCCAACTATCCTGATTTGGCAGAGATGATCCCCAATAATCCTCTGCTATCCAATTTTTCATATGTTTTTAAAATTTCCCAGCTTCTTTCTCCTCTTCCCAGTTTGTCCTTTATTGACTTCAAAGTGCTGCAAACTGATTTTAAAATTAACCTCTTGGGGTGCATCTACTCTGTGGGATTGATTCACTTTGACATTTAACTGCCACAGCTGTGTACTAACTGTCACAACACAGTTTTTCACCTTCTCTGCCAAACTATAACTCCCAGGATTCCGTAGCATTGAACCTTATTCAAACTGCATTCATTCTACAGTGTAAGTGCGCCCTTAGAGCAGGATTTGCCATACCCATGCACCACCAGAAGCACCATTTTGAGGATGAACACATTAAAGCAGTTGGGAGATAAGGTTTCACGAAATACTTTCTGCAGTTTGCAATTGCTGCAGAGAGAGAAATGAAAGGAATCATGACTGACCAAAGCAAAGTTACCATCCTTCAAAATAAGAGGAAGCAGATTTCCATTATCTTGGCTGGAAAAGAAGGAAAATAAGTGTTTCTCAACCTTCCTAATGCCGCAACCCCTCCATACAATTACTCATGTTGTGATGATCCCCAACCATAACATTATTTAACATTGATTTACATTATGTTGCTACTTCATAACTGTAATTTTGCTACTATGATTAATCATAATGTAAATATCTGATATGCAGGATGTATTTTCATTCACTGGGAAAAAATTGGCACACTGAATACTGGTGGGGTGGGGGTGAGGGGTTGATTCTGTCATTTGGGAGTTGTAGTTGCTGGGATTTATTGTTCACCTACAATCAAAGAGCATTTTGAACTCCACCAACGATGGAATTGAACCAAACTTGTCACACAGAACTCCCATGACCAACAGAAAATACTGTATGGGTTTGGTGGGCATTGACCTTGAGTTTTGCAGTTGTAGTTCACCTACATCCAGAGAGTACTATGGACTCAAAATGATGGATCTGGACGAAATTTGATACGAATCTTCAATATGCCCAAATGTGAACCCTGATGAAGTTTGGGAAAAATAGACCTTGACATTTGGGAGTTGTAGTTGCTGGGATTTATAGTTCACCTACAATCAAAGAGCATTCTGAACCCCACCGGTGATAGAATTGGGCCAGAGCCCCCATGAACAACAGAAAATAATGTGTTTTCTGGTGGTCTTTGGTGACCCATGTGACACCCCTTCACAACCTACCCAAGGGTCCCAACCCCCAGGTTGATAAACGCTGCAATAAATGTAGGTATGTGAGGTCATATCTTTAATAAATGTAGAAGAACATCATTGAGCAACCAGGCTGAGGCACCACACAGGGTTAAGAATTTCCTATTGAGGTTTTTTTAGGATTATCTAAATCCTGCAGCATGATATGCTGGATCCAGAAATCAAGTACTTAATGGTGTTCAGTTCTGTCTGTGGTTTCTGGTGACATGTATCCTCTACAAAAATGGGGGAGTGTCTTATTGTCTTTGCATTAATTATTCAAAAATAATAAATCCCAGAACTCCCAGATCACTAGCTATGTTGTCTTCAATATTCGGGGAGTTGCAATCCCCCAAAATCTCATATTTCCAAGCTCTGCTCCTAGAAATAACAAGAAGCCTGTTCTTTCCTTCTTCGCTGTCAGAAATGAAAGTCGGATCTGATCATTTGCAGAGAGCCCTGACCTGGCGGAAGAGGAAAGGGGGGAAAAAATACAGGGAAGGATCTGAGAGCATTACTATGGCAACTTTATGGAGCTGACACTTAGGTTGCCTGAGCAACCAAAGAACCTCTCTGTCATTTTCACATTGAGAAAAAGGGAGTATGATTTCATCAAGTAGCCCTTGAGTCCATTTGAGAGCCTGGTTTGAATGTCCAAACTCTAAACAATTCAGATGAGTGTGGGATTGTAAGAGTGTGCATTAAGGGAGTCCCTAGTTCCACCTCTCCTCTCTCGCTTTTTCTCTCTCTCTCTTCTTTTTCTCTCTCTCTTTCTCTCTCTCTGTATATGTGTACAGAGATAAACCTGAAGAGTGCATGCAGAAGACCATTTGGAGCAGTGTTTCTCAACCTTCCTAATGCCGTGACCCCTTAATACAGTTTTTTTGGATTGTGGTGACCCCCAAATATAACATTTTTGTTGCTACTCCATAACTGTAATTTTGTTACTGTTATGAATCATAATGTAAATATCAAATATGTCAGATGTATTTTAATACACTGGATCAAATTTGGCACAAATACCCAATAAGCCCAAATTTGAATACTGGTGGGGTTGGGGGGATTGATTTTGTCATTTGGGAGTTGTAGTTGCTGGGATTTATAGTTAACCTACAATCAAAGATATTCTGTACTCCACCAATGATGGAATTGAACCAAACTTGGCACACAGAACTCCCATGATCCATAAGAAATACTGGAAGTGTTTGGTGGGCATTGATCTGAGTTTTGGGGTTGTAGTTCACCTACATCCAGAGAGCACTGTGAATCCAAACAATGATGGAACTGGATCAAACTTGGCATGGATATTCAATATGCCCAAATGTGAACACTGGTGGAGTTTGGGGAAAACAGACTTGACATTAGGGAGTTGTACTTGCTGGGATTTATAGTTCAGCTACAATCAAAGAGCATTCTGAACCCCACCAATGCCAAACTTCCCTCACAGATTCCCCATGCCATGGAGGGAATCGGTGGTATGAGCCTCCCTCCAGCCTTGCACGCTCTCCTTCACCTGCACATACGCACCACACTGCTATGTGTCAAGCATGCCTGCTCTCCCCTTCCTGCTTGGAGTCTCTTGAAACAGCCCTCTCCTTGGCTGGGAACTCAGCCAATCACAGCGGAGGAGGGCTTTTGGTAGGATGATTCACCATCTGTTTCCAAGAAGGAAGAGAAGGACAAGCAGCATTCTCTGCCAAAGTGGTTCCCTAAGACCATGAGAAATATATGTTTTCTGATGACCTTTGGCAACCCCTCTGAAACACCCTTGCACTGCCCCCCCCCCCCAATGGGTCCCAACTCCCAAGAATGAGAAACACTGATTTGGAGAAAAGAAGCAGACAAGCCAGCTTGACAGATCAAGCACTTGAGTTTGTTGACAGCAGAGGAAACCATGTTTTTAACTGCTTCTTCTGCAACCTGGCAAAGGTAAGTCACATCCCCAGCTATGGGTGATTCAGATGTGTCTGATCACAATCTGCATCCTGTGTGTTGTGTTGCCTCCATGTTGAGTAGAATGGAGTTGGACTGAATGGCCCATGAGGTCTTTTCCCATTCTGTAATTCTTAATTCTTATATTGATCTCTCTCTCTCTCTCTCTCTCTTTTGGAATGATGGAAACTTTTCCTTGGTCAGATGGACTTTTCTTGGCACAGTACTCTCAAAACCATTGGACTACAAACCTCATAATCCCCAAGGTGCAATCCTGTATGGGTGGGAATGATGGGAGCTATCTGGGATGGACGAGGTTGAGAAAGAGTTTATTCATCAGGAATCTGGAAAATCTTTAATAAACTATGCATTATTCCTTTAGGCAGCTTTTTAAAGAAAGATCGACTGATATTCTGTTTGGGATGTGCATGTTTAGAAATGGCATTGCACAGGTTCAACACTGAATTGAGCAATTTTGCAATGTTTTGCAATTCACTTAAGTCAGGCATGGGTAAACTTTGTCCCTCTAGTGTTTTGGATTTCAACTCCCACAATTCCTGTTGTCAGGCCCTTTCCTTTTCCCCCTCAGCCGCTTAAGCGGCTGAGGGGGAAAAGGAAAGGGCCTGAGGCCAGGAATTGTGGGAGTTGAAGTCCAAAACACCTGGAAGGTTGAAGTTTGCCCATGCCTGACCTAGGGGCTGTCATGACATCATGCCCAGATGTGTATCTTTGCCACTTACTAATAGACTTTTATTGTATTTCTGTAATGTAGTTATAGATGCTTAAAGTTAAGAACCATAGACTATGATGCAGAATCACAGCCATCATTTATTTTAAAGATAAACATTGTAAGCAGAAAAAAATCATATTAGTATACACATCTTCCCTCCTCTCTCGTTTCCCAAAGGCAATGATTCTTTTGAGTTGTGTTCTGGATCACCTTAAAAAAAATAGAAATTGTCCCGGCCTCTCCCTGCAAATGTATGTGAATGTAATAGTTAGATCTACATGAATATGCATAACTCCCTCCTCTTTCCACATCTAAAAGGCAGCTGAATCGGACAGTGGCCAGGGAGAGGCTTGGGGATGGGACATAAAGGAGAAAAGAACAGCTCTCTGTGTACTATCCAAAATGGGACAGCCATAGTTGCATGTCACTAACAAGATGGTAGTCCTAATTGGTCGCATTTGCAGATATTTTGAGGGCCTCCTAGACTGTTTTCAGGTCAGAAATCACCCCCAAATTGATTGATTAATTTATTGGGGGTTGGGAGACATTACAGGCTAATAAAATTATGATTTGGAGGCCACACGCATCCTGCAGGCACATTTTCCCCCAACACCATCATAGAGGGTCACATGGAATATACTTCTGGAGGAACAGATATCTGGAGAACTTCTGAGGCATGCACATAAACATTAGTGCAGCTATGTTGTCTGTTGTGAAGCTAGCATTTCCTTCTGAAACTCTGCTCCATTTCCATGAACACATCTGCAAATATTTGATGGGCATGGAAAAGAGGAGGAATTACAAAGAAACTTAAGTCCCCCTTAGAAACTGTCTACACCATGCTTCCCAGGAAAATGACCACTTCAACGTTTGAGAAGACCTGGGAAATAGACCTCTCCAACTCTTTGTAGGTCCTGCTCTGAGATCCCTCACACACGGGAGATCTCATACTCCCGCAAGGTTGAGGCGTTTTCATAGACAATGGTATACTCCGTCTTCTCCATCCCAGGCTTCGTGACAGATTTGATTCCATCTAGGAGACACTGGTGCAGGAAAATGTATTGAGACTGTGGAGACAGAGAGGAAGCCTTTATGTGGAGCTGTGACACTGGCAACATTTTGAGCTGCATCATGCCAAGCTCTGTGAAGAATCAGCTCTCCAGTGTCCTGGATGAGCTACCATTTGGGACATTCCACACATATATAAACCTCACTTGCCTAGTTTCTAACAGACCCCTCAACCTCCAAGGATGCCTGCCATAGATGTGGGAGAAACATCAGAAGAGAATGCTTCTGAAACATGGCCAGACAGCCTGGAAAACTCACAGCAACTCATTTGGGAGTTTGCTTGTTCAACAGAAATAATATGGCCCCAAGGCGGAAGTGGACAATATAAGACAACATGGAAGAGGAACTAGCGGCCATCATCCTATGATTTTTGGCTTTAAAGACCAGGACTTATAGGAGTTGAAACCTGGAGGGACCACAGGCTTACTGACCACCTCTCAAGGGTAAGAGACTTTATTTCTTTCTCTTTTATACATCTGCATGAATCAATGGTAAGAATCCCTTTAAATCAAAGCTTTACTATAATACCCAGAATCCTCAGGCTCATAGCAACTGCCTGGGGGGTTCTACAAATTTTACTCCAATTCTTTGGTTCTAACATATGAATTCATACACCTGTAAGACCAACCTACAGAAAAGGGAATGCACTCTCGTGCAATGTGACAGAGACCCCTAAAAAGCAAATGTGGGTGAGATGAGACATATTACGTCTGCTGTGGGGAAATATATCAACAGCTGCTAGCAATCATGGCATTATTCTATTTATTTAGAACACTGGTTCCCAAATTGTGGTCCACAAGAATGAAAATATGATCCGCAGCCTCACCCTTACTATTATTTATTTATTTCCGGTATTTCCACCTCGTTCCTTCTCAACCCCTGAAGGGGGACTCAGGATGGCTTACATTTGGCAGCAATTCGATGCCACTACAGTGTTGCCTCGAAACCATGAGGCAATGAGAGCGAGTAGTCTAGCAAAAGCCTCTAATAGTGCCGATGAAATGGGGATGTCAGGAGGAGAGAGGCTGACTACCCACAAAAGATTGCTACTATCACATCAGCTCTAGATTATTAAATATGGTTTTCTGTGGGCGAGCTGATGGTGGCTACTGGATGGCATATGTTCTGTATGAGAAACTAGAGCTGATGTAGTCTATCCAATGCAGTTTTCTGAATCAGAACCCCAAATAACCAAACTGAATCAAAAGTTCACCAAAAACTGATTCGTAACCCTTTCGGTACCAATGTTGGAGAGTGGTCCCTGGTCAAAGTGGTCCCTCATCAAGAAAAGGCTCAGGACCACTGACTTAGAGGAATATTAAAGGTTTCATTAAGCAAGGAATATACAAAGGCAGTTTACCACTTTCTTCCTCTTGTCAAATAGTCTACAGCTCCTGGTATGGGTTGGGGGTCTCCCATACAAGTACTGATAAGAGTTCACCCTCTTAGTTGCCAAGACCAGAAGCATCTTTAGATATTTAGGGCACAATGAGAGCCATTGGTTAAAATGTTGCCCCATACCTGCCCTTATCCTAATTCTTTATTCTTATTCACCTTTGGTCTAAATTTGACATATTGATCAAAGAAGATCTAGGGTCTGCCTCTCACCTCTGTCTGAATCATCAGTGGACGGTTCATCCTGAGTCTTTGGACAAATGAGAAGACACCTAGTTGTCCTTCTTCTTGGGCTTGGCGCAGCAGCGAATCCAAGGCAATGAATGTCCCTGTCCGTCCCACACCAGCGCTGTAAAAACGGGAGCATGAGAGAAGGAGCAGTCACATGTTGCTAAAACATGATTTGTATGGTTTTTTAAAATGCATTCTAATATGCCAAATGTTTAGTACTTCAATTTTCAAATTGTTTAATTGTTTTTAATCATATATAGGTACTTTTATTTTTATTTTTGTACTGCTTTTAACTTGCATTGGGTTTTATAGGTGGTTAGCTGTCTTGAGGCCCATTTAGATGAGAAAGGCAGGATATAAATGAAAATAATACAATACAATACAATAATACTTGCTTATCGAACCTTCGCTCATCCAACATTCTGTATTATCCACCACAGTCTGCCTCCTGCCCGAATCCACAGCCGTTTCAATACATTGCAATGTTTTGGTGCTAAATTTGTAAATATAGTCATTACTACATAATGTTACCGTGTACTGAACTGCTATTTCTGTTGATTTGTTGTAAAACAATGTTTTGGTGCTTAATTTGTAAAATCATAACATAATTTGATGTTTAATAGGCTTTTTCTTAATCCCTCCTTATCATCCAACATTTTCACTTATCCAACGTTCTGCTGGTCCATTTATGTTGGATAAGCGAGATTCGACTATAGTAATAACAACAACGGAAATAACAACACTGGCCAACCCACATTTTGATGCCTCGAATGTTAGACCTGTTTCTGGGTATACTTGACCTAATGGTTCCAAAAATTGCATCCATTTCCCCTCATCAGCTCTACTTGCCGAGATACATAACATGCCATATACCACCCAAAGAAAATCAGAATAACCATATTTCAGAAACTAGAGCTGATGGGGTCTATTTGATGCAATTTTCTGAATTAGTGTCCTAAATAACCCCAGGAACAGGCCTAAGACACCAAACTTGGGGGAGGGGGGGTGTTCGGGATGTGTAATAGTAGTAATAACAACAGCAGCAGCAACTTCATACACTCAACAGAAGCAGCAGAAAGACCATCAGGTATGGGTTGCTGTGAGTTTTCCGGACTGTATGGCCATGTTGCAGAAGCACTCTCTCCTAACGTTTAGCCCACATCTATAGCAGGCATCCTCAGAGGTTGGGGGGTCGCCTCAATCTCTGAGGATGCCTGCCACAGATGTGGGTGAAACATCAGGAGAGAATGCTTCTGGAACATTGCCATACAGCCCAGAAAACTCACAGCAACCCAGTGTTTCTGGCCATGAAAGCCTTCGACATCTCAGGGATTATTGCTTTAAAAGCTAGAATATAAATGTGTGTTTTCAAGTCATCTTTCTGGATTTTCTTAAGCAAGGGATGCTCAAAATACTTCCTCTGAATACTATGGAAGCCTGAGAATTGTATTATGATGGGGCACCAACCTTCTTTAGCAAGGAAGCTTGTAAAGTTACACATCCCAGGATTCCATAGCATTGAGCCATGGCAGTTAAATTGGCATCAAATTGCATTCATTCTACAGTGTAGATGCAGCCTTGGCTTACCTGCAGTGCACCAGAGCTGGCCCACTGTCTTTGTGTTCCTCTATGTGGGCCCTCACAAGATCTCGAAAGTGAAGGACACCACTTGTGGTCTCGGGTACCCCATGATCTGGCCAAGAAGAATAATGATAATGCCTGGCAAGACGGACCTCAGATTCGTTCACCTGTTGGAAGACACACACACACACACACAGTTTTTGTGTCAGTTGGGATGGTGAATTCATTCTAAGTTTCAGTATGAATTTTAAAGGAGACCCCCAAAGTGCCAGTTGTATTATGAAGATAGGATAGGGTCCAATATCCTCGAAAACCCCTTTAAAATTTGGGTTGAAACTAGAACAAGATATACTGCCCCATAAATAGGGAAGCCACCAGTCTCCACTGAAGAAAGGTAGGGTCCAAATCTGGTGAAGGGAGGGCTCTGTCAAAGTCACTTGAAGGATATTTCTCACTGAAGCAGTCATGTGGTAAGACATTTGGAGGAAGTAAAAGCAAAACTAGCCCTAAACCCCACTCTCTCACTCGTTTGATACTGAAGTCCCGGATGGTCCAGTCGGGAAGGATGGTTTCTGTGAGAACAGAGACACTGATGTCCTCATAGGTGCAGGGGGTGTAATCCAAAGGCCAATAGCGTTCACATTTCGCCTGTTCAGAAGAGGAAAGAGTAACATTGAGGAAAAGAGACAAGAAGAATATTGAGAATAGTGGGATGATTGGGGCAATGTATATCCTAAGATTCTAGCCCACACTAAATCATGAAACGTTAGTGATGTAATCTTAGGATACTCTCTTTCTGATGGAAATATCAACCTTCTACAAGCCTCCTATACTATTTATTTGTTATGTATATAATTCAGATTGCTTACTGTATTGTATATGTGTGTATTGGTATGCAGTTTTCCCTTAACTCTATGTTGTTTGAGGTTGTGGGATGGACTGCAGACCACGTGATCAGATCTGGGACTATTTAGACTGAGACTCCATTTTAGAAGTCAATGTGTTGTGTTGTGTTCTGTTAGCATTATATAGTCAGTGTTCGTTATGGATTAGGCAAGAGACCGCAACAGAATGCCTTAGGGCCCTTCCAGACAGTTCCTATATCCCAGGTTTTCTGCTTAACTGGATTATATGAGTCTCCGCTGCCAGATAACCTGGGATAAACAGAAAACCTGGGATCAGATTCTGGGATATAGGGCCTGTCTGGAAGGGCCCTTGGAGAACTTACTGTTTAAACTTTCAACTGATATAAGCAATGTACCTGTATGCTGAATACATGAAGTTTGTAAGCAAACCAACTATGTTATTTTTAACCAAAACTACTTATTTTTGTCTCTTGAGAGCATGATTTAAAGCCAAATATATTTTATGGGAGAGTAGATGTTTCTTGGGCAACTGAAATAACTTCCTAAGATCTTCTATATATTTTGTCCATTGGCATAATCTTTGTTCCTAAAAATTCAAAGCGATAACCAGGTATATCAGTCTAACAACTGAGAAACCTAATTTGCCTTGCATGAATACTAATGGATATATACCACTAAAAAGAAGATTCACTCAAATGAGTTTTTAGCTCTTCTTGGGAAGATCATACTTTACAAAAAAGGTTATGATTTTCCAAATGATAGTGAATGCCAGTTAATCTCCAAAAGATCACACTTCCAAAAGGTTTTGGAGATTCTGGTTTTTCCAAAAGGTTATGATCTCAAATGTCAATTCTTTCCCCAAAATTTTCTGTTTGTTTGTTTTGGTTTTTTTTGTGTCAGGAGTGACTTGAGAAACTGCAAGACGCTTCTGGTGTGAGAGAATTGGCTGTCTGCAAGGATGTTGCCCTAGGGATGCCCGAATTTTTAATGTTTTACCATCCTTGTGGGAGGCTTCTCTCATATCCCAGCTGGAGCTAACAATACATTGAACCCATAATAAATATTTGGCACAGCACAGAGTCTCTGTCCCTTCAGTGTGCACTTCCCAACGACACAAAGCTTTACTTAGAAGCTTTTTCTTTCGTCCCCAGACAAAATGGGGTAACCCTTACGCGTCCATTCTCAAAACAGTTGGTGAGCATGACCAAAGTTGTGATCCGTTGCTCCCATATCATGCGCCAGAAGTCATATAACGTCTCTCGGAGCGGTCCTTGAGCTGCAATGAACTCCTTTTCCCTCTTGAAGCCCTGGAATAAATGGGAAGGAAGGAAAGAAGTACTTGCCTTGGGCTGAGACGGGAACATTTGTTCTAAAAAGTTGTGCACACTTTAGTATTCTTTAGTGAGCTTGAAGATCTAATCTGTTTGTGCGACTGTGGGTGAAGATTTCTTTCTTTGCATGTCATACTGCCATTGCTGCTTAGGACTAACAGGGAAGAATGGCTTATACAGGAAGCCCTACATGTTGGGGGTGGGAGGATGAAAGTAGAAAACCTGAGTTGAAAAAAAAAACACCTTTTTACTCGAGAGATTATCTCTCTAGAAGTTTCTAGGTCCTTCAGTCCAACTCTATAGTCAACATTTAGCAGAAGCTGAACATAGAGTCACGATGGAGATTTCAAGAGAGATAACACTAATCACATCCATGAATAATCAAATCCACAAAAAAAAAAAGAATCCACAAATGTGGATAGTCAACTCTAACAGCTTTGATGCAGCCTGTGAGGAGTGACTGCATTATATCCAGGGGCAATTATGTCCTACTCAAAACTGAATGTTTACATCTGTGCCAAGGGAAGTCACAGGACTATATCCAAGATGGTTTCAAAGATTTCTAAATCAAACTACATCTGAACATACAGTATCATTTCACACCAAAATACAGCCTGTGGGACTCACTGGCATATAGCTAGCATTGATGTAATCAGAGTTGGGGTCTCCGGGTCTGGGGAGGAGCTGGACTCGGGCATGGTCATCTGTAGAGAAGAAAGCAAATATCAGACATTATTTAGATCTTGATCTCTTGCTTCTGAGGGAGGGCTGGTCCAAAATTATCCAGTGAATTTATGCTTAAAGGTGAGTTTAAACTTGAATTTAAATCAAGAAATGGCTTTCTAAGATCTACAGAGATAATCACAGGAACACCTCAGCAAGCGAGAGTCCAAAAGTGGCAGGCTAAAACCTGGAACCTCAATCAGTGGCTGAGAATGGATGAGCGACTCCCCCCTGGGAACACAGAAGGCTGGGTGACTTGGAAGGCGCTGAACAGGCTGTGCTCTGGCAACATGAGATGCAGAGCCAGTCTTCAGAAACGGGGCTACAAAGTGGAGTCCATAACATGCGAATGTGGAAGAGAGCGAACCACAGACCATTTACCACAATACAGCCTGAGCTGCCATATGCACAATGGAGGACCTTCTTACAGCGACACCAGAGGCACTCCAAGTGGCCAGCTTCTAGTCAAAGGACATTTAGTATAATGGCAAGTTTTAAATTTCGTTTGCATTTTTAAATGCATGATAACTATCCCCTAAATTTGCTTCCGACACGATAAACAAATAAACTTGAGTTTTTCAAGGTCAGAGCCGGTGTGGTGGTTTTAATACTGGATTTTGACTCTGGGAGACTGGAAACTGAATCCTTACTCAGCATGTAAATCCACCTCAGTGAGTCTGATTCTGCCAGCCTCACAGAAAGCCAATGGCAAACACCCTGAAAATAAATCATGCCCAGAAAATCCTATGTTTGCCATAAGTTGGAGTCAACCTGGAGACATATAATAGCAACAGAATCACACATTTGCTCATGACCCGCAGATCTACCCACCTTCCCAATAAAAATCCCAGATTCTATCTGTTATACAACTGGCATTTAATAAAGTACTACTGTCTGGAAGTATAAATCCAGGATAGAGATGGGGATCTCTTATCTGTCTCTCCAGTTCATCCATCCTAATGTTTGTCTTAGCAGATCTCTGGAAATCTTTTTCTACTTCAATTCCCAGAATCCCTGGCCCATCATGGAGGATATAAGCAAGATGCAAAAGACTTCATAAAGAAGATTTTCCAAGCTTGGAGATGCATTAGGCTGTCAAGCTAGGATCTCTGGACATAAGGAGCAAGTGATTCTCACACAACAAGAAGAGACATGTCCAGTCTTCTCCTGTTTGAATGTTTTTTTTTAGGTGATTACAAAAAAATCTATGCATACAAAAAGCTAACCCTCTGCAGCAGGCCTGGGCAAACTTCTGCCCTCCAGGTGTTTTGGACTACAACTCCCACAATTCCTAACAGCCTACCGACTGTTAGGAATTGTGGGAGTTGAAGTCCAAAACACCTGGAGGGCAGAAGTTTGCCCAGGTCTGCCTTACAGCAAGATGCCCAAATGGAAAGCAGATTCCTTGGGGTTATGTAAGGTAATGCAGACCATAGGGAAACGAACGAAACGTACATGGAACGACGTTACAATAGCGGTTCTTGGGCTGATTCTCAGGCTGCTGGGCCACACTCTGAGGCTGCTCCATCACCATGTCCTGCAGTTGCTATTATGACAATATAGAAAAGAGAAATACTGAATCAGTGCAGTGTTCTAGAGTGGTTTAACAGTTGGGTTATGACTATGAAGAGCAGAATTCGTATCTCTGCTCATCCACGAGAACCCATTAGTTGACCTTGGGCACAGAGTTCTACATGGCAGGATAGCTCCTTCAGCAAAGCAAAATACTTCTTATTTGCAAGTTCATTTTATTGATTTAATGGCCAAATGCTTTGCCCTGCTTTGTAACTGTGATGAAGGCATGATGGAAATTCATAATATAGGATGTTACTATATTAGAAATGCGAGTGTGGAGTGTGTATATTAGACATGCGAATGTGGAGAGGAGCAAACCACTGACCACCTGCTGCACTGCAACCTGAGCCCTGCCACATGCACAATGGAGGACCTTCTTGCAGCAACAACAGAAGCACTCCAAGTGGCCAGATACTGGTCAAAGGACATTTAATTAACTACCAAACTCGCACATTTTGTATTTTGTCTGTCTGTTTGCTTTGTTCTGTTAGAAATGTAATATAATTGACTGGTTGCCCTGACACGACAAATAAATAAATAAATAAATATTAGGAATAGGAATTAGAAAATATGTATGAAATCACAAAGGGAAATATATACATGAACATTCACTTGGGAAGAAATGCTCTTCCTAAAAGCTGCAAACTAGATGCCACAAAGAGGCCAGAAAGAGGCCAGGGTCTATGGAAAGGAATGTCTAAGGCTTCTAGCAAATATCAAGAGACTCTTCCATTTCATACCAAGCAGGGTTTATTGTAAAATTAATGATGTAGACTGGCTATCAAGAAGCTCTTGTACCAGGAAAGGACTTGTCTTATAGGCCTGTCGGTTTCGTTTCGTTAATTCGTTATTTCGTATTTAAATCGTTATTTTTTGCATATCCGAA